GGGGGTTAGTGGGGGAGGAGGGGGAGGGGGGCTAAGGGAGGGAGAGATGAGGGGGAGGCCTCTATCGCATATGTGAATTGGGGGGATGGAAAGGGGTAGTTTTGGGGGGGTTGAGGGGAAAAAAAAGTCTGGGTCAGTTATTATTGAGGAGGAGACGGTGGTGTCAGTGTGCTTCAAGGCCGATCATACTTTTATCGAGCGTGCTACATGGTCGAGACTGCATTTTTATTAAAATAGTTTTACTTATCAGAATTTGAAAATTATTTGGTTTCTGAGCTTCATACCATTTCACCATTTCAGCGAGAGTGCAGCGTACCTTCCGTCACGCCTCACGTCCATGGGATTTACTCAGAGCGACGAGGCAGGCGAGGGAGGAAGTGGTGGGGACGATGAGCAGCTGTCACCGTCGACCTTGAGGTGGGGGGAGACCACTCAGCGCAACGGTAAGTCGTCCGGATCTGCCAGGTACAACGATACAATTCGAAAATCGGAGCCTTCCGGTTTTTGTTTTGTTTTTGCTGATTGAAGAAGTTTGATTCGATGTACATAAAATTCTATTCTTTTCCCGTTAAACTTTAAAAATTCCTTTGCCATTGGTTGTTCACAACTTAATCGTAAATGACGTAAAAATACACAAGTTTTTAAAAGCTTTTATTTGCGTGTATTTACAATATACACGATTGTTCTACGATCGGTTCTAGGGTAACCCGAATCTACTGGGGTTTTGGAGACCTCGATTTTTTTTCCCAGACTGAATTTTAGGGTGGATTTTGAGGGAAACTTCTATTTTTGAACATGTAGTAGTTAGCAGGTCTTCGTAACCCCGTCACTTCGGCTACATTATTTGACCTGCAACTGTTGTGCCATTGATCAGTTTGTACCTTGCCGCGAAAATGCGAACTTGTTTATTAATCTATTGTTGTAGGATCATTTTACTTCACAGGATGAGAATATATTATTTTTAAAAAAGGTTTTAATGTCACAGTTTGAAGTGAGTACTGTCAAAATTGTCCAAGATGGCCGCCCATTGATTGTGGAGGAGAAAAGTGGTTGTCTCAGACGGGCAGACGGCACGGACAGTGTCATTGAAAAAAATACAAGGTCGGAAGAAATGAAATCTGCTGTGACCTTGCTGTGTTAAAGGGAAGAGGTGTCTCTTTTTTACCGTTTCCTTTTGACAGTTGCTATTATGTTGGTTGTTATATCTTTTAAGTGCTTTTTCATGGCTTCCCATCTCAGAATTTCTTTTGTTTTCCG